CATGTCACTCTGCTATGGCAGAGGGAATTCACCAATACCCTCCTTTAACTAGGCCTACAGGCAGTACCTCACGAGCCTTGCTGCATGATAAAGGACAGAGTATTCATCTTCTTCTACATTAATAATATTATTTTTAGATACCCTAAGAACAAAGAACACCTAGCTTACTTAATTATATAGGAGCTACAGACAAAATACACCCTTACAGGGGGAGAAGACTTAAAGTGGTTCCTAGGAGTGGAAATTACTTTACAATAAGGACGCCTAGAACACAGCAACTTAACAAACCTGCTCCTAGGTTTAACATAAAGAAAGCAAACTAGAACTTATTTAGCAAAGTGCTAGCAAAGGAGATAGCAAACAGCTCTGCTCTTAGCAACGCAAGCACTCCAAACTACTCTACAAGCAGATCTCTAGCACTTATCTAAGGAGAAGACCAGGACCTAGAAGAGCAGCTAGAAACACTAGCTAAAGAGCTCACTACAGCTATAACTAAAGCAGCTAAGGCAGCAATTCCGCAATACTCTACCACTGCAAAAAGCAAGCCCTGGTGGAATTAAGACCTAAAAGCACTTAGGACAAGCATGCTTAGCAAACAACGCCAACTACAGAGAGAACTTGCTATTAGCCTAACAAGTGCCTACACCTGGAAAAGAGAATATCTAATAGCTAGAAACAGCTATCTACAAGCTGTTAAAATAGCTAAATAAGACTATTAGAACTAATTCCTAGAGAGAGAGGACCCTAAATTAATCTTTAAAGCTATAACTTATACTATAACTACTTATAGCTAGAACATACCTGCTATCTAAGGCCTAAGGGGAATAAAGGAATCTTTTTAAGGCAAATGCTCTGCACTAAGAGAAACTCTCTTCCCTAGCCCTCCTGCCTCTAGGCCTATAGAGTGGGACAACTACCAACCAAGTAACTGGGAATGGCCTAATCTTACTATAGAAGAGCTAGCATACGCTTGCTCAGCACAAATCCAAAGCAGCTCTCTAGGGCCAGACGCCCTTACACAAGAGATTATTACTGCAGCATATAAAGCACAGACAGAAATATTCTTCTTAGTTTTCTCTGCTCTGTTTAACTATAGATACCACCTACAGGAATAGAAGAAAGCAACAGGCATTATCCTAAAAAAGCTAAATAAGCCTAACTATGCTGCACCTAAAGCCTATAGAGTAATTGCTTTATTTAGCTGCCTAGGCAAGGTTGCAGAAAGAGTAGTAGCAAAACGCCTAGGAACTCTTGCAGAAACAACAGCTCTTCACAACTTAGAGGAAGAGCACAGAAATCTGCAATAGATGCTTCTATACTACTGCTTAACCAGGTCTAAGAGCAAAGAAAACTAAAGCGCACTACATCTACAGGATTCCTAGATATTAAAGGTGCCTTTGACCACGTTGCTCTTAACCAGCTACTTGCTATATTACAACAGCTACAGCTACCTTGCAATTTAATAGCATAGGTTTAATTATTCCTATCTAAGCGCTAGCTAAGACTATCCTTTAATAGAGAAACAGAAGGCTTTAGCAGCATTAAAGAAGGGATTCCACAAGGTAGCCCTGTCTTACTAATCCTATTTCTAATATATATTAGACTAGGCTGGCGGAATGGGTATACTCCAACGTCCTTCGTGGGTACCCCCCAAAACCTTATCAATAATACATGGATTCTAGCGAACTAGGGCTGAAAAGAAAGAGAAAAACTACCTCTACATTTTTGTTGTAGAAGGTTTTGTTATAACTATTAAACTGCACAAGCTAGAGGCTAGAAAATGTTAAAAAAGGGGGGGTACCTAGCAAGCATACCCATTAATAGGTATACTTTGCTAGGTAGTGTTAATAACTCAGCTAATACTAGGTGGAATCAGCTAATTCTTTTTTTATTAGAAGGCGCAATACTAGGCGCTTCTATCAAATAATAGATTATGTAAGCGTATCTCTGCTAGTTAAGAAGCTATAAGCCAAAACGTAAAAAAGCATACCCTACCCATCCGCCAGCCTATATTAGACCTCTGTTTTAATCTATTACAAACTACTCCCTATCCTACCTAGATAACCTAGCAATTACAGCATTATTTACTAGCCTAAAGAAGAATATCCGCATGTTAGAAAGAGACATAGCAAGCCTATTTGCTAAAGGAGTAAGCTGCGCTATATAATTTAATGTAGCAAAGACAGAGCTTATTTACTTTATAATAAGTAATAAAGCTATTAGCTCTACACTTACCCTGCTAGACAGGTCTACTATAGAGCCTAAAAAGACAGTAAAGTAGCTAGGAATCTACTTTAATAACGCACTCTCCTTCAAAGAACACATAGCTACAAGGATTAGCTAAGCAAGAAACGCTTTCTATAGAATATGTAGACTTGCAAACAGTAATAGAGGCCTCCCTCCTAGCGCTATAAGACAGCTATACTTAGCTTGCGTTTCTAGCTTCGCAGATTATGGTTGCCAGGTCTTCTAGAAACAACAAGCAGGAATAACAAAGCAACTCTAAGGACTGCAGAATCTTGCCCTAAGAAAAATCCTAGGAACCTTTAGGACCTCTCCTATAGCACCACAGGAGACAGAAGCAGCACTTTGATTGATTGATTGATTGATTGATTAGTTTAACGTCCTGTGTGAGTCTAAGACTATAAAGGACGAGAGCAGTGAGGCTGCTCTAGTAATTTACAAGTTTTTTCTGTGTAAGGGAATAGTATATATAGGTTTGTAGACATATAGTGAGAGCCTTTGCTCTAGTTATAAACAAAGGAAATTAGTTTTCTGTTGTTTGCTGTAGGTACTACTTGCGTGTGCCTACTTTAGTTTCTTAAATAAAAGCTAGTGTAACGTATTCCACAGGCGAGCGCCGCACACGGGCGAGCGCCGCACCCCACCAAACTTGCGCACCTCTCTCATCTCAACGTACAATGGCTCAACGCAGCGCTACTCTATTAGCTTCAAATGAAGCAGACGTTCAGCTTGCTATCTCCTCTATCAGTTCCCATCAAATACAGAGCAATCGCAGGGCTGCTACTATCTTTAGCGTGTCTGAACGAACAACCCGCCGCCGACGCGCTGGTATACCTGCCCGACGCGATTGCCAGCCCAACTCAAAGAAGCTCACTGAGCCAGAGGAGCAGGTGATTATCCGCCATATATTGGATCTAGACCAACGTGGATTTGCGCCTACGTACGCAGCTGTACGTGATATGGCTGATAAGCTGCTCGCTGCGCGCGGCGGAGGACGCGTAGGAGTTAACTGGCCATCTACCTTTGTCAAGCGTACAGACAGTCTCACGACGCGTTTCAATCGAGCGTACGATAGACAGAGAGCTCTATGCGAGGATCCAGCCCTGATTAGTCAGTGGTTTAAGCTTGTAGAGCAGACAAAGGCCAGGTACGGCATCTGTGATGATGACGTCTACAACTTCAACGAGGCAGGCTTTATAATAGGCAAGATTACAACTTAGCTTGTTGTGACAGGGTCAGAGAGGAGAGGTCGGCCAAAGGCTATTCAGCCAGGCAATCGCGAGTGGGTGACGTTGATCGCTGCGATCAACGCTGCTGGCTGGTCAGTACCACCGTTCCTCATCTTCGCTGGCCAGTATCATCTATCTGCCTGGTACGAGGAAGCAGAGATCCCATGCGACTGGGTGATCGCAGTCAGCGAAAATGGCTGGACAAATAACAAGCTAGGAGTAGAGTGGCTAAAGCACTTCAACGCTTATACAAAGACTCGCGTTGTTGGTGCGCGTCGCCTGCTTGTCCTTGATGGCCATGAGAGCCACCACTCTCTTGAGTTTCAAGAGCTCTGCAAGGAGAACAATATCTACACACTCTGCATGCCGCCTCACTCATCTCATCTACTTCAGCCTCTTGATATTGGCTGCTTCTCGCCGTTGAAGCGCGCGTACAGCTGTGAGGTTGAGAGCCTGATCCGCCACCACATCAACCACATCACTAAGCT